ATTCAATTTATAATACAAATTAAGACTAAATGTAAATACGAATAAGATCTAAATAAAATTCCAATAATATATGTACAAATAAAATCCAGGTTAAAAAAAAAAAATTAAATAAAATATCAAGTAAATTTACAATTTAAAAAGAACACGAATTATATACAATTAAAAACAAGTTAAAATATAAAATAAATTTAAAAGTTAAAAACACAAATTATATACAATTAAAACCAAATTAAAATTTTAAAAATAAATAATACATATATCACAGTTCATTCAAGTCTTATTCCTATTTATAACGATTTTGGCCAAGGACCTGCAGTACTCAACGAAGTGCCCGCGCTTGTTTTTACTACTAATTAAGTTTTTCAAATTTTCCTCTACTACTTTCTCTTTTAATCTAATTTCCAAATCTACTCTTTGCGCTGCAAATACTGGGCACTCCGTGAGTATGTGTAGCACGGATTCGCCCCGTGCTGGGTCACAAACGCTGGTTGGTTGGTTGACTTCACACATATCTTTGAATTTCTTCTCAGATATGTGCAGGTTGCATCACGATGTTTTCCTTCACCGTAAGAACGTCGGATAAATGTACATATGTAAATCGTTAATCGAGATTTGAACCCAGAACTTGCAGATTGCAAGTCAAATGCCCTGAGCCACCGACGCCCAATGGCTCTGTGTATATATCTAGCTAATATTACAATTCTGCTGTCGCCCGCGACTCCGTCCGCGAGGAATAAAAAATAACTTAATTAGTAGTCTATGTGTTCCTCCAGGCTATGTTTTATATGTACGCCAAATTTCATTGAGATCCATTCAGCCGTTCTGGAGATACCTTCAAACTAAACGCAACTAAACATTCGCATTTATAATATTAGTAAGATTTGAAATTTTACCTGGATGGATGTAAAGAACGGTTTGTAAATTTACTAATATTTCTTTTATCATTGCACCTAAGCTAACCTAGGCTTGTGATAGGATATGGTGTACAATAGTCGAATGACGGGATTCGAACCCCCGACCACGTGATCGGAAATCTGTATCTATAACCATTAGGCTATTGCCGCTTAATGTATTACGCATTAATGTATAACATCTGGTAGAATACATAGGTTACTAAATTTTTAATACCGCGCGGACAGTCGCTAGCAAAATGAACATCATCATCATCAGCTCACTATACGTCCCCACCGAGGGGCTCGGAGCCTATCCTAACTTAGGATGATTAGGCCATAGTCAACCACGCTGGCCAAATGCGGGTTGGTTGACTTCACACATGCCTTTGAATTTCTTCTCAGATATGTGCAGGTTGCATCACGATGTTTTCCTTCACCGTAAGAACGTCGGATAAATGTACATATGTAAATCGGAAATCGAAAAACACATTGGTACATGGCGGGATTCGAACCCAGGACCTGCAGATTGCAAGTCAAGTGCTTGACCACTGAGCCACCGACGCTCCAACAAATGCGCTTCCGATGAAATGAACATAGTCGGGTGGAAAAGTCGTAATATATATAATAGTGTAACAGAGTAGAAAGTTTATGTATTGTTACATATATAGAAGTGAGTGACCGGCGGACGACCGTTTAAATGACAAAATTATGTCCACAAGAAACGACGATTTATTTTAATAGTTTGAAAGTTGTCTCTGGTCTTCCGTGATACGAACAATATAAAACTTTACGTCTTTTATGAACTTTTACTTTTTTATAATAAAACATAATTTTACTGAAAATACGACAGTTTGAAATGGATATGACGTTAGAACTGTTGTTGCAGGAATAGGTTCTTACTACTTAGGAATAATTGTAGCCCGCGATTCTGTCCGCGCGAAGAAAAAACTTAATAATTGTGTGTTTCCTATGTTTTTTACCAGACTATGTTCTACATCTGTGCAAAATTACATCAAGATCCGTTGAGCCGTTCCGGAGATACCTTCAAACATCCATCCATCCAAACACATTTTTATTATTAGTAAGTAAGAAGATAAATTAGTCTAGATTTTTTCTAATAAGTTTCAAACATACGTAATTGTACAAAACAATTTATTCATTACTTGTTTATATTGATAAAATATTTTATTTATATATTTTTTTCATAATGGCACTAAAAAGAGGTTATTTTAGTTTTTTTTTAAGAATAAGGGGTATTGTTCATTGCTGCCAGTATCAATTATATTTGATATGCTAATTAGTGAAGCAGTTCGTAGCTTTCTATAACAGTGGTATTTCATTGCCGTAATACGCTTTAAAAATGTTGTTAACTCTGTGTTTTTACACAATACATGATAAAAGAGGATATGTTTACGAGCACTTATTTCCACAGTGGAACCGTACGGTGTTGTCCTACTTATTGTTCATACTATTTTTTGATGACTACAGTATTATTATTGTTTACAATTGTTCTTTATACTTTAATTAGCATTTTATCGCTAATTTAAATAATAAAAACCCACATAAGACAGGCGTCAAGTGGAAGTAATTCAGCGTATAGTTTGATAACGCGTGCCAGAGAACTTATTTTATTACTCTTCCCCTTTTCGGTTTTTTCTTATGAGAAGTGAATTAGTTTGAAGAGGACCCATCGGAAGAGTAAAAATGTTGTCTCTGCGCGTTCTCAGTCATAGGTAGCTAAAGCATTAGCAAATTCAGATATGTGAGCAACGTTCACTTCGAATGAAATAGCGTAATGGTCGCCATGAATGGAATTTGACTTTCTTCTGTTTACTTAATTTTGGCGTTGGATTAAAACGAGATATATATGGATTGTTTGTGTGGCATGGCATACCTTGGCTGCTTTGTGCCATGTGCGGTGTCAACAGTTATCCAGGTCTGCATGTGGCATAGACAGTTATTTGATGTTTCGCTGGCCGGATAGCGGTGCTTGCGTCAGTGTACAGCTTGTGTTTACACCGGGCGTTACTCGTGCGTGATAAATGAAAACATGTGATGCAAAAGGAAATGGAGGGAAATCAATCCGCCACTTCCTTCGCCCAAACAACAATTAAAATGAGAATTTTTTCGTAAAAGTTTTTCCGACTTAATAAATACAACTCAAACCAGTAACCCAGAGGCATAGGCAGAGACCGCGAACCTCCAATTAGCGTGCCCAAACGCACTTTCGCGATCCACTTTTTGCCCTTTTGGAAGACGGAACGAGACTGATGGCGAGCCGCGAAGCCGTACTTTTCGACTTAATACGAAAAATGTAGTTTAAGTTGCATAACCTAAAAATAGCCACCCTGATATAAAAATAAGATAATAATAAAAATATAATAATAAAAAGCCCGGAAGAATAAAGTCACCAGATCTGTACTTGAGGACGTGTTACTTTAATGTAATTAAAGGTCGACACACTTATTGTGTTGGATCATTGAAGGCTTATATAGCGTCTGTAATATAAAAACCTTTGAATATAAAATATCTTTAACATTTTTTAAAGCTTTCAACTAGGTGTTACTAAATAACTTTTCTTTAAAATGTTATCGTCCGGTAAACGAGTTTTGCAGTCAAGGCGTAGCCATCATTTCGACACAGAATCTCAAAGCTAAATCTTACTTTCCTTAAACATTTATTCGATGTGTTTAAAGGAGTGTACACAAGTTACAAAATCATTCATTAATCATTCCACTCAATCATGTGAATGTGAAGGTAAACAAGGATATCTGTACCGGTGAGGGAGGCGCTGCTATCGCATTTGCTTTTGTCAGATAATATATAAAACCTACTTAGACAGAAAATGCCATAAAAGTATAAAAAATATGACAGTTACAGTACGAAAATTTGTGACTCCTATTTGACGTTGACAATCGGGAGCTAGTTTGCTGTCATAATTTAGTTTGACTAATGCCTACCGAAACATATCCTTGTCGATCTATAGGTCATTACACAAAAATAAAGCCTTACATCTAATATATTATTTTTTAAACTGCTATTAATTTATCCAAACAATCTGTGATTACAAAACTTTATTTTACGTCACATTCACATTCCATTTTGATTAAAAGTGAAAATGGTTTACTATTTAACGTTTCACTCTAATTTCCGTTTCCCGGTTAAAGCGAACTGACAAGTTGTTTTTTTTAAATAGGTGCAAGGAATCCAGCGCTGTGAGCCACACCTGCCATCGAGCCGGATGTTAAACACATGCATCTGGCAATGTAACCGGCAAATCGTGGACACCGCCCGTTTGTAATTTGCCTAGGCAAATCGAAAAACGCAAAAATTAAATATTGATCTAATGGCGTTGCGTGTTACAATTCAGAATTTCTTATTACATATTAATTTTCGATCCACGGCACTTTATTACCTGCATAGAATAACACAGTTCGATATTAAATATTTTGATTTTTTACGATGCCGGGTCGGATTACAGTCTGCCGGAATACACGTTTTGTCGGTGACACCAACACAGACACACTGTTAAAAGTTATTTGAATGTATGTGTATGTTTACATTACGTACAGTAAAATCTCACAGTACTTGTGTGACCAAAAACTGCAACTGCAAGCTTTCTGGTATAACATTTGATATTTGCATGATGACTAAGAAGTAAATTATTTTGTGACCTCATCAATAACTTATAAAATAAATATGTCCTAATTACCATTATACTAATGTTCTTTTAAGTTATAAAAAGTATTTACGTAGTTATAAAATGAATAAAATTTTGTGGCAGAATTATATATCAGCCGTATGCTTAAGAAAAAAACAAAGGTGGTTTGAATTTGAACGTCTGACCGTTAGGACATTAGCCGCAAATTGTGTTTGGAGAAAAAAAATTATACAGACCTAGACCATTACAATTATAGACAGTATATAGTTAAACAAAGATTCATTTAAAACAAAACAAGGTCAAAAATACATAAAAATGCGAATCCAACTTTCACTGTAAAATACAATAAGCATTTTATCAGATAATATTAAATTGTTATGGGATTTTTGTTAGGTGTAATACGTTTTTAATTGTTTGTAAACTTTATAAGTCGTGAAAATACTCACCAGATAACAGTTGTAGCCATCCGCAGATGTGGAAGACGGTTGTCGATTGGCAGAAGAAGAATAATAACATCGCGCATATAGTAAACAGTGCCAAGGCGACCGCTAACCCAACCAACACAGTCGCAATCTTGAACACCAATCCATTTATCGAGAAGAAATCATCCAATCTCCCTTTGCAATCTTCTACGGCCTCGTCGGCTCTGCAAATCTGCCACAGACCAAATTTCCTCGGATACTCTGTTTCTAAATCGCCAATCCATTCTGGTGTCACAAAAGCAACAACGCTTATAATTGCATAGCAAATTGTGAATATAGCCCAAAGCACACCTATAGCTTTCGAATTACGGACGTAGTTTGTAGCGTATAAGTGTGACGAATCAACGTATTCAATTTTCGAACCCATATTGTCGTTTAGTTTGACGTTACTTGTTCAAAAAACTTTGGTATAACACATTTTTTGTTGTGAACTTTATATTGAAGCACTCGTTTGAGGGAATTTAAAACATGTCACGAAGTAAAAGTATTTTAAACAACACGAGGACAAGTATATGACACTGAACGACGAACGAACGTTATTCGAGACGAGGGGAAACACGAGACTAGCGATCACTCGCTCGCGCTCGCGCCATTTCGAATTGTGGCCGTGGTGGGGATAAGTAATGAACTTAAAAATACAAAGCATTCTACTTGCATTTTGTGCTAAACTTATTACGATTTTAAGTTTTAAAATAAAGAAATTCATTTGAAACAATTATACGCAGAATTCAGTTAAAAATAAATAAGTTAAAGTTTCATATAAGTTCTAACTTTTTTTTACCTTTTCTTTTTGATAATAATCTCACTTACAGCGACACCTAGTGTTCGGTAGACTAAAACATTGTTTTATATTTTAGATAATTTATAATTTTCTTCTCAGAAATCTGGAAGATCCACTGAATTTTTTTTAACATAATTTGCATAAAAAATGTTTATTAAAAATATTTATTTAATGTTTTTAATTAACTCGAAATTTTGGTTATGGCAACACTGATATTGGCACGTCAGAAAATGTTTCTTCGCTTCGCTGATTTTGTGATTGTGTATAAACATTTTCCTTATATCCATGAAAATCTTTAAAAAAAATTAATTTCATCAAATTAAATTCACTGTGCTTAAAGTAACACATAGACTTTAAATGCGCATAAACGCGTAATTCTTTTCAATATGTCAACTAAAGATAAGTGGGTTCGCCGGTTCACCGTTGATGAAACTGCAAAACATAAAAATGGATTTACAATTTACAAAATTACTTCTGTCGTGAGTTACTATTGTATAGTACTTATTCATCCATAAATTTCTAGTTATTTGTGTATATATCCCATTAAAATACCAATCATATTTTTCTTCTCATTGTTTTAATTCAAAATAGTAACAAAAGTTAGTTGATTATAAACCTGTAGGCAATCTTTTAGATTCTAAATAGCGACGAAATAATTTACAACCAAAATATTCAATTGTGTAATTATTGTCAATTGCACAATACTTGTTAATATTAATATTTAAACTTCAATGAAATATTGACTAATTCCTTTGAAGTTATTCCCACTGGAATCTCCGGAAGCAGTAACAGTAGTGTCAGTATGGAAACGATACAGTGATGTCCAAGCACTACATAGCAGCATGAAAGCTTTGCATTCCGGATTACATCTACGAGGAACATTCCCTGTACTACCGAAGAATAATTACTTTAAGAGATTTCAGTCTGAGGTAAACTAAAATGTTTTTTTAATGAATTTTTTTTAATTTTATTAATATTTAAACAATCTAAGAATACAACATTTATAAGAATTATTTATATTTTCAGGTTATAGAAGAGAGAGGAAAATCAATAAAAATCTTGCTTGAATTTATTGCAGAACATAGATTACTGTTCACTAGTACTGTTTTTGTCAATTTCCTTCAAGTAAGTGTTATATTATCCATACTAATATTGTAAAGAGGAATGATTTGATTATTTGCATTGAATATGCTCGGAAACTATGGAACTGATTAGAAAAATTCTTTCACTGTTGGGAAGCTACACAATCCCCGGATAACATAGACTATATTTATTATTAGATTTTACCACTTAACAGTGGTAGAGCCCGCTTTAACATCTTCGCACAAATTGGCCAGGCTCACCCGGTGAAATACCACGACCACACAGAAGACAGGCGTGAAGTGGAAGCAGTTCTGCGTTTCGTCTGATGAGTGTGTGTCCCGGAGGCCTAATTTAGTTCTCTTTCCCTTCCCACCCCTTTCTTTTTTAATAAGGAAAGAATGGGAAAGCGAAGTGGACTTTCGGGATGAGAGGATGCATGGGAAAGGAAAATATTTTCTTTCTGTGCATCTTCTCCTCCGTCGATTAAAGGTAGGCAACGCATATGCAATTGCGTATGTCTATGGGCAACGGTCACTTCGCTATTTCAGCGATTTTAAGTAGACGCTGGTTCGTTTGCCATCTTATGATATAAAAAATAAATTATTTAATTTCAAACGGGCAAATGCTATATTTACAATTTGTCTCGGTACTTTTGTACTTAGTATTGTAATATTCTTATGATATTAGTCAACTTTAACCGACATAATTATTTTTAATTATTAATAATTGTTTTCAGACGGGGTACCCAGAGCCAGTACCCCAGGGTGGTGTGATTAACGCTATCAGATCATCTCTCCACTTGCCCATAGAGGAGACACCACCGCTGGAGTACCAGACATCTGATGATGAGTCCCGCAGCCCTAATAGTGGTGAGTGCAAAGTTGATTAGAAACATGTTTCTGAAATTATGAGAAACATGTTTCTAATTGTCTTACAATTTTTTTACAAGAACCAAACTGATTCAAGTGTAGTTTTAATTTTTTAAACAAAAACTTAAATTTTATAATAATTTACATTTTTAGCAAGAACACCACAAGAAAACAATGGGTCTGTCAACAATTTAGACATATCACAAATACCAATATATGAAGCAGCAGATGTAGAACTGCGTCAGTCACCCAGAAACACACGGACAGACAGTTTTGAATCTATTAATTCTATAGAAAGCATCAACAGTGATTTCTACGATGAATTAAACAAAATAACAATAGAAAAGACAAAACCTAGTGTTAAAACAAAGAATGTTTTACCGGATTTAATTAATTTTGATGCCCCTTCAACTTCAAATGCATCGAAATTTGATGATTATCATACTATGGGTACTGAAACTGTTTCCATTGCGAGCGATTCTCCGATACGTGTGAAAGAGATGGAGAATAGTTATGTATTCGAAAGTCCCTTGTACGATACGAATAACGATGACATGAGTGTGACGTCTCGTGGAATGGACACTGAGATTGATGGTGTTGCGTCTCCCTCTAGTGGAGTGCGTGGAAAAGAGACAGAGATATATGAAGATGTTTCGTCTGTGTCCAGTGAAGTGCGTGGGAAAGAGACAGAAATATACGAAGGTGTTTCTTCTCTGTCTAGTGATGTGCGTGGGAAAGAAACGGAGATATACGAAGGTGTATCGTCTTTGTCTAGTGAAGTGCGCGTGAAGGAGACGGAAGATAGTTACGTGTTTGAGGCGGGGTATTTGCTATCTCTAGGTGCCAGGTCTGAAGATAGTGGTCAATACCGCCGCGCTTTTCATTGCTACCGCGCGGGTATTGAAAAGATGCTTATTGGTGTAAGATGTAAGTTTTTTTAATTTATTTTATTTGATAACATACGAACTCTTATATTTCATTTTTATTTAAAAGTAATAAATTCCAAAATATTTATAATAAAACAGTTATCGTCGCCCACTATTTTTGCAGGAATAGGTTCTTACTACGTAGGAATAATTGTCGCTTGCGATTCTGTCTGCGCGAAAGTAAAAAAAAACAGTAATAGATGTGTGTTCCCGATGTTTTTTACCAGACTATGTTCTACATCTATGACAAATTTCATCAAGATCCATTGAAACGTTACAGACATACCAACATCCATCTAAACTTTCGCTTTTATAATATTAATAAGATAACTCTATCATACAAATTTTTACATAATAATTTGAAATGTTATCCGACGTTTTTACGGTGATGGAAAACATTGTGGTGCTGCACATATCTGAGAAGAAATTCAAAGATATGTGTGAAGTCAACCCGCACTTGCCCAGCGTGGTTGACTATGGCCTAATTATCCTTAACTTAGGGTAGGCTCCGAGCCCCTCGGTGGGGACATATAGTGAACTGATGATGATGGTGATGAATTTGATATGTCAAACAAAATAACCGTTTATAGAATGTCATATTGTTAACTTCATTTCAACGTTGGATTGAAATATATTGATAAACATTACGCACATGCGATTTTACAATTTCTTACAACTACAGATAAGATATCAGTTCTAACTATTTAGTGTAATAACAAATGATAATAATTTACTATCTGATTCTCTGGTCAGTAAAAGTGTACACGTCAAATGGATTTTATTTATTTATGTTCATATATGAATGATGTTAATAGAAATACTAATGAAGGTATGTAGATAGAATTAATAATTTTTTGAATGCTAGCTTTAAGTTTCCGAGACCAAAATCTTTGTATAAGTATTGTCAGAATTATCATTTTTGATAAAACAAAACAATATGTTTTAAATTGGGGTTTTGTTTTTAGAAACCCACAATTTGTAGATGCTATTTTATTTTTGTCAAGTATTTTGTTAGTTCAAAAGTGGTAGAGCCCGCTTTAACATGTTCGCACGAATTGTCCCGGCTCGCTCAGTGAAATACCACGACCATACAGAAGACACGCCTCAAGTGGAAGCAATTCCAAGTACAGTCTGATGAGTGTGCGTCCCGGAGGTCTAATTTAGTCCTCTTTCCCTTCACACTCTTTTTCTTATAAGGAAAGGATGGGAAGTGAAAGTGGACTTTCCGGATGAGAGGATGCATGGAAAGGGAAGATATTTTCTTTTTTGTGCATCCTCTCCTCCGTCGATTAAAGGTATGCAATTACGTATGTCTATGGGCAACGGTATGTCACTTTAGCGATTTCAAGTGACCGCTTGCTCGTTTGCCACCTTATGATATAAAAAATAATAGTAAGGGAATAAACAATATTAGATGAAAAAAAAATCAAAAATTGATTCGATTCTTTTGGTTTGCTATATTTTGTGTATTGTTATGGATTTATTTTAACTTTGTTTAAACTAAAATTAATATAAAGGAGAATTATTTATTGAAAAGAAAAATGGAAAATTACTTTGAGATGATTTGGTGTTTTTTTTTTAAAGATAAAATTGTGATTCATATAATTTTTTTTTGTCTTTGTTCTTTTCATTATTGCAGAGATAATCTTAATATGACTAATATTAGTTTAAATTATCTTTTCGTTGTTGTATTTCAGTGGACTGTGACACTCAGAGACGAGCACTAATCAAGGAAAAGATCAACAAATATTTGAACTATGCGGAGACCATTTACAACAATCATCTCATACATACTGAAGATAATGTGAGTATAGTTTTAAAAGTATTGATGTAAAATCTACTAGGTGTTACCCGCGACTCCGTCCACGGAGAATTAAAAACTAATGTAATAAGTAGTCTATGTGTTCTTCCAGACTATGGTCTTTATGTATGACAAATTTTCTGAAGATAACTTCAAACAAACATTTAAACATTTTTATTAGTAAGATGGCTAAGACACTAACTTATGTTCTTCCGGTGTCGGCACCGACTCACTATACGTCCCCACTGAGGAGCTCTGAGCCTACCTTAACTAAGAGATGACTAAGTCATAGTCAATGCTGGCCCAGTGCATGACTTCACACATATCTTTGACTTTCTCAGATATGTGCAGCATTACGATGTTTTCCTTCACCGTAACAATATAGGATAAATGTACATATGTAAAACGAAAAACACATTGGTATACGTCGGGATTCGAACCCAGGAACTGCAGATTGCAAGTCAAGTGCTTAACCCCTGAGCCACCGACGCTCGACGACGAAGTTTACTATGTAATAGATATTGTTGGTGTTGTCGACCATTTAAAATACTTGTATGTATACATTGTGTAGGATGTAGGCAATGTGTGCGAGGCTCTGTGCCCGCCCCCGCTGAGCATGCTGAGCGGTGACGCGGACGAGCTCGCGCAGTACCGCGTGCTGGCCGTGCTCGGACCCAATGTCATGCTCGTATTACACAAACAACTGCAAACTTGTTATGCTATGAAGGTGAATACTTTTGGACTGTATTAATTAGAATCCTTTGTCGCGAATGACGTGTTTTCGTTACAAAGTCAAGTGGTAGAATGAAAAGTAAAGGGACAAAAACGTCGACATTTTAGTAAGGTAGTTGGGTTAATACACTGACACATTTTCGAATTTTCTCTCTAACAATACTCTGGGTTAAAAATTTACCAAAATTATGTTTTTTTTTTAACAGTTTTTATTTTGTTTCTTAAATATTTTTATTTGAAACCTTACAACATTTATAACATTAGTAAATAATTTGGTACAGTCAGCTGCATAAATATTTACAAAACTTTCGAGACTTGGATAGGTATTTTGTTTTAAATATATGTATACACTTATTTTTTAATAATATGTACTCATTGTGAGAAACATACGGACAAATGTGTGCATACATTTGAAACCCAAGGTATATAAGTTTCTGAAGCTTTGTTAATGTAGGTACATATATATGCGGCTGACTGTACATATTGTACACAGGATAAAAGAAAAAAAACACAGAAACTATGTAATAAATTTTTCTATGTTAATCTTCCTTCTTTATAATTAATGTAAAAATTAAAATTTTTTAATTTAATTTTCAGGTTATAAGAAAAATTCCCCACAATTTGACGGAATTCGATGAATATTTCTTGCAGCGTACAAACGAGACGCGACAACCGATCCTGCCTACCCTCATACCGTACATGGTGCCGCTGCACGCGTACATACAGACGAACAATCTTATATTTCTTATATTAACATATGCACCGGGGAAAAAATTATTTGATTATATAAAAGAATACAAATCAATACCAAATACACCGAATAGACAAGTTAATTTAGAAAATGTGTTCACAGAACCTATGAAAAGAAATGAAATTAATGATAATAACAAAAATGATTCAATGAAACAAGATATTAATGAAAATAATGATAATAATGATTTGTCTGTTAATGAATTGGTTAGAAATTCACAGAAATTGTTGCAAAATGTGGACAAAGTGTTGACCGAAGTTAGAGATGAGAATATTCAAGATGTCAGAGAAATGGAAGGAAATGATGCAAAGATAAATGATGTTCAGACAACTTTAATAAACAGGGTAAGTTTCATTATACGAGTAACTAATTATAAAAAACAAAAAAAGATTTTTTTTCAATAAAAAAGCTGTTCTGATTATAAATAAAACCGTTTAGTTGGAAAAACTCTCACTCTCTCTCTATCTAAGTCTTTGAGTCTTTTAAGTCAGTCAGAGAAAAAAAAATTTAGCCAAAATTTGTCAAAAAAATTTTTGGCAACATTTTTGACACAAGTTGAAAGTTGAAAAAAATTTTTGTCAATTTATTTGTGAATAAGCGAGAGTCCAAAAGTTCTAGAAGGTTTCTAATCCGAGTTTCTCGCTCATGGAGGTCGTCCGTAGAGACCTGCCAACTCGCTTATAGGTTTCCCGCTTGCAAAACATAGCATACACATAAAAAAATATTAAAAAAATTGATTAAAAGGTAAATTAGTAGTAAAATATGTATGTGTTGATGTGGGTGTTGTCAGGCGATGCCGGCGAGCGCCATCTGTTGTTGGGCGGCGCAGTTGTTGGTCGCTATAGAGGCGCTGCACAACTGCGGCGTCGTCTGTCTGTGAGTACATACATACATACATACATACATACATACATACAATTGTTTAAAACGATAAAGTATTCAACTTCAGCATTTAGTAATTTTCAAAGAAAAAAAAATTTGTGGTAAATTTTAGCCGACTTTAAAAAGAAGGAGGTTATCAATTCCTCCGTATGTTTTTTTTATGTATGTTACCGTAGTAACTCAGCTCCTGGTGCTCCGATTTTTAATTTTTTTATGTTTAAAAACATCAATTTTTAATATTCTTCAATTTGTAGTAATAAAAAAAACACTTATATTTCGATTTATCCTATATTAATAACAAAATTAAAATATAAAAAACCATTTTACAGTGACCTCAACCCGCGTAACATTCTGTTAGGCGAGAGGGGTCAAATAATTCTGACATACTTCATACATTACCCCGGCGTGGAGATGTCCGTGTGCAAGACGAGAGATGTCAACATGTACGTGGCGCCTGAACTTTACTCTGACGTGTTCCTCGACCCTGACTCTGACAGACAGGGGAGGGGAGGCAGGGAGGGGGTGTGTGACTATTGGACCTATGGAGCTATATTGTATGAACTTATTTGTGGAGTGGTGAGTAAATGTTTGGCAATTGGACTTGTGTTTACCGTTGGACCGATCAATTGGCCCAATGGTAAAATACTTTTATAACTCAGAATCAGCCCTATATGAATTTGTTTTCTACTGGGCGACTGACGAATTATGTGCAAAAATATAACTAACTTTTACCTGCGACTTCGTCTGCGCGGAATTAAAAAAAAACATAAGTAACCTGTGTTCTGCCAGACTATGTTCTACATTTATGACAAATTTCAGCAAATTTATGCAGCTGTTCTGGAGATACCTTCTAACAAACATCCATCCATACATTGTGATTTATAATATTAGTAAGATGTATGTACGTGTTGTCAGCCGCTGTGGCAGTACCACAGGTCGGTGTTCACCTCGCACACTCTGCTGCAGCTGCCCGACACCTTGCCGCTGGAGGCGCGCTCGTTGCTCACACAGGTCTGCACCTCCACACCTCCACACACCTCCACACACACCTCCACACCTCCACACACCTCCACACCTCCACACACACCTCCACACCTCCGCACATCTCTATACAACTTCGCACCTCCATCTTCTTCTCCATCACATTCACTGTTGAATATTTTCTTGCAAATCTTGAACACTGTCACTTTATATAATACTAGCTGTCAACCGCGACTTCTTCTGCGCGGATTTAAAAAAAAAATAACGAATAGTCTATATTTTCTTCCAAATTATGTTGTACATAAACTGATATAAAAATGGATAAACACTCACGTATATATGTCCGTTGACGGCACCGACTAGTTTCGAGCCCATCGGGGTCCTCTTTATCAGGATGAGTGGGACTGGTATTAATTTGCGGACGCGGCCCGTCGCTTAGCTGAGTGTTTAGCCGTGTTTATATATCAGTTTAGTATAATTTAATATGCTCTACATCTATGACAAATTACATAGAGTTCTATGCAGCCGTCCTGAAAACTCAAACAAACATACAACCATCTAAACATCGCATTTATTATATTAGTAAGATTTACATTGTCCAATATCCTCAATGTATGTATAAAATATTTATTGTATTTGTGCAGTTACTGACAGCGGACCCCTCTCAGCGTCTGGGGGGTGGTCCCGCCGGTATAGATGAGATCAAACAGCATCCATACTTCCGCGGTGTGGACTGGCTGCGTGTGCGCAACGCGTGGTCTGTGCCGCGCTGATACACAGATGTTATCTTATACCACTTAGAGATAATGATAAACAATATCACTTAGGTTCCTTCAAGAAGCGAGCGATTTCCTTAAAGGCAATGTATCTGCAGTTCCTCTGGTGTTGATATCCATGAGTGTTGTTGATCACCTCCGTGTTCCTGCCGTTTGTCCTCTGCTCTTATAAAAAAATGACAACTTTGAATGTTATAGTTAATTCTATCTATATTATTAGTTCTAACACATGAACATATCGCTATCATCAGCGTTAAAATGGAGAAAATGAAACAGGCACTAAATACTACGTCTTTTAGCCATTCCATTTATAAAGGTCTGATTTATATCCAATTGAGGCAAAATATATGATTTAGAGAACAAAGATTGGTGAAATAAATGCTTGCCTTAATGAGGCAAATGTCTTATGTGTGACTCATTCAGGCAACTTTAACAGTGGTAGAGCCCGCTTTAACATCTTCACACGAATTGTCTCGGCTCGACCGGTGAAATACCACGACCACACAGAAGACACGCGTCAAGTGGAAGCAATTCCAAGTACAGTCTGACAAGTGTGCGTCCCGGAGACCTAATTTAGTCCTCTTTCCCTTCCCACTCTTTTTCTTATAAGGAAAGAATGGGAAGTGGAAGTGGACTTTTCGGATGAGAGGATGCATGGAAAGGGAAAATATTTTCTTTCTGTGCATCCTCTCCTCCGTCAATTAAAGGTAGGCAACGCATATGCAATTGCATATATCTATGGGCAACGGTCACTTCGCTATTTCAGCGATTTCAGGTGGCCGCTCGCTCGTTTGCCATCTTATGATATAAAAAAAAACTACTATTTTTCGTATGTCCCAACGAAGCAAGCGTAAGTTTAATGTAACTCATTCAAACCACAATTTTTGGTATGCCTCAATAAGTCAAGTGCAATTTTAATGTGATTGAGGCAACAGTTATTTGCGTTTATCTGGTCGAGGCGAGGCGTTATTTGCCTCACTAAGGCAAATAATTGCAAAGGTAACATTTTGCTCCATCACACGTTATATATCAAAATTCCTGAGCTTAGTATTTATTAAAGTAGAATTCCACTGCAGTTACACTTTTATACATATCGTCTCTTTTTTATCAAAGAAAATGAAAGAGACGACAATAATTTAATAATTATATAAAAAGAATCATATTTCGTATCAATAAAATTACGTTAATTGTAACAAATTAACTTTTTTTTTTTAATTTTTAAAATCTTTGTCTGCGTGCAAGTCTGCAAGTCTGCGTTTGTTCTGGATAATCTCCGGAACGGCTAGATCTATTTGGATGGTACTTTCACTGGAAGGTAGCTCATGTATGCAGGAGTTACACGGGTTATGTTTTTTCTTTTTTTTTATTCTCGTACTAATAACGCGGTTGTTCGCTAGTTTATTATAACTAGAGTAACTGCAGTGTAATTGTACGGTTAGATGACTGTCGGCTTTAAAATTATAGTATTTTACACTTTTAACAGAATAGAAAACATTTAAATATTTAGATTTTAATTATGTATTTTTAAGTTAACTTCTTATTAAATTTATATAAGAAAAGTACAAAAGTATTATAAAAAAAGACTATTTTATTTTAATGCAAAGTAATTTATTGTAAAATTGATTTAAAGATTATTTTGTTTTAAACAATCTCATTGTTTTTTTTTTGTTTTAGTTATAATAATTTATCGTGTGATATTATTTTTAATTTTGATCTGAATGCAATTAAGACATAAATAAGTTATAGTTTAATTATTAGTAAGATATTTAAATGTGGATTTCTTAAAAAAAATACAGCCGAACCTCGAAAACGAGAAACTACTAGAAGCGAGAGTCATTGTCCGTTCCCGGACGACCTCTATAAGCGAGAAACTCGGGTTAGAGAGAAACCTCTATAAGCTAGAATAATCTCGCTGTCCCTTACTCTAGCGAGAAACTCATGTTAGAAAGAGACCTTTAAGTGAGAATAATCTCGCCGTCCCTTCGACTCTCGCTTACCCAAGGTTTACTGGATATTTAGTACACGAGTTAATGAATTAGAAAGTAAAACTTTATCATTATAAAAGTTCTAAATAATTTGACTGTAAGAAAAGTACAAGTAAGATGGAAAATGCACTTAAATTTATTATCATAAAGTCGAAACTGGATAAGCGAGAGTCCAAGGGAGTGTGATATTATTCTCGCTTATGAAGGTTTCTCTTTTATACGAGTTTCTCGCTTATGAAGGTTTCTCTTTTATACGAGTTTCTCGCTTATGAAGGTTTCTCTTTTATACGAGTTTCTCGCTTATGAAGGTTTCTCTTTTATACGAGTTTCTCGCTTATGAAGGTTTCTGTTTTATATGAGTTTCTCGCTTATGAAGCTCGTGGTTAGGGATCGGGGAATGACTCTCGCTTATAGAGGTTTCTCGCTCATCCAGTTTCGACTTTACATCGTATTTATAAATGGATTAAGCATTATATATATTTTTATATATTAAAATAAATTAAAAAGTTACTTAATTTAACTAATTTTCGAGTGATGTGTAGTCAAATAGTTTAAGCAGAAAGAAAAAAGTTTTGACAGAGGCTTGAAATGAAATTTGTACTGATAACGATTTATATGAAAATAAACATTTAAAAGACGATATTTAGTTTTATTAACTATTAAGAAAAACCTAATAATTAAAATAACATGAAATTATAATCTATTACTTTTACCCAAGACTTGGTTCGGGCGAAATTAAAAAAAATGTTTTTTAATAAATATAGCCTACTAGCTGTCAACCAAACGGAATTAAAAAAACTATGTTTAGTTTCCCATTTTATAAATATGTACACATTATAAAATATTTTAAAATTATTTTTTACCAATTATGACAATCTTGGCGTACCTTCCAAAGCACTTTGGTAGTATAAACTAATTCTCAAATACAAATGTCCCTTCATTTCCCATAGTGTTACCAAATAACGTAGAATTACATCCGCCTTCGTAAGCTTTTAAACAAGCTTCCCACGTGTTTATTTCAATATTATTTCGACGTGCAACTTGTATGAACATTTCTCTCTCTTACGTGAAGGTGAATGTAAGGGATAACAATATGTGTCGATACAAGTATCTGCAGTCAAAACCCACAGCAAGTGATGTCATAAATGAAATCATTTTTCATAAGTTCTCGAAATGTACTTGCATACCTGTCGAGGTCACATTTCTTCAAAGACAGGTTTTATACTGTTTAAGCAACTTTCATCTTTATTCAATTGAAATAAGGTTTTAATTACTTTGAATAAAGTCAATTGTATAAATTGCTAAACAAAACCACGTCTCATTGTGAAGTATAAACTTTATTTTCTTTCGCAATTCCTTGTTTCAATTCAATTGAATTTAACCTCTAAGTTAATACAATAGATTTGATTATAGATTAAAATAAATAAATACAAATATTACACGATTAAATAAGAATGCATCGCGCGTGTTTTATTTAAATGAAATCGTGAGAGCATTTTAATTTGTTTGGTTAATATTTCTCATAAGAGAATGGAAGGCGCTGATTGGTTGGAATATTTTCTTAAGTGACAGTCGTTTATTCTTCGAAGACGGGTTTGGTTGTGCGCATGCGCAGTGTTTCGAAGTTTTTGTGATTTTAAACTTTTACGTGAACTTGAAGTGAATTTAATCAATTTTTCTACAAGATTAAATTAATTGAGAGAGTAATATTTAGTAAAATTAATATTACTTGTTGGTGTGTTAAGAATTTTTAAGTGTGGCATTTTAGTTTGATTATTTCTTATTAAAGTCCAATAAGATTGGTAAGTTAAATGTTATTTTTATATTAAAATTAGAGTGCGTATATATTAAAGTTAAAATTGATCTCGTTAAGTGTTTTTTAAATATTTCTTACTTAGTCCATTCACACGGAACTACTATAAATAATGATAGACTGTTACAGTGAGTTTCTGCGACTAAATACATCTTTTAAAACATATTGTTATCTCTGTTTCTTCAAAGTTAATGACAGGGATGACGATATGTTTTATACCGAGTCTCAGAAACCAGTGGTTAGAAGATTCTAATTTGAAAACTAATATAGAAAAAGGACCAATAGCCCAAAGTTGTATATTTGAGTTACTTCGAAGTCATATAATTTTTTTTTATGTATGAAATTGAATTGATTAGTTAATTGTCGCTTAAGGTTTATATTTTGTTAAATTTAAGTAATAAGTAAATTATTACAAATTACTTATCTTGATATCCATCTTGAAATATTGCCGACTTCCTTTTATAAATTGAATATTTACACAGCCGTTAAGTCATTACACGTTAATCAAGGTCATTTTATTGTTGTTAATGTAAGTTTCCACTGCCGAAACACATGTATAACAACATGCAACAAATTACCTTTGAAATAACATAAATAAAATTTGATTTGATCTTACAGAACACAAAAACAACTACAGAAATTATTGTCTCAGAAACCAACGATTAGTGAACTAATTTGATTATTAAGTAAACTCAAGTAAATTCGTAAAGTTCCACAATTTTTAACGATACTACTTCTCATATGGGCTATGAAATACAGTCAAGAATATTGGGGGGACTATCATGAAAATTTGCAAGAATCGTATCTTCATCGATAAAATTTGTATTAGATTTTTACCGTCTTTTGTAGACTTTATTAAAAAATACTAGCTGTCGTCCGCGACTCCGTACGCGTGGGGTTAAAAATAGGTGTTGGTCGATTCTCAGACCTACTCAATATGCGCACAAAATTTCATGAAAATCGGTCAAGTCGTTTCGGAGGAGTATGGGAACTAAAATTGTAACGCGAGAATTTTATATATAAGAATATTCCAAACTTGTCTTTTTGTGTATTTAATTAGAAGAGGTAACAAAGAAACATCGTAATAAGTATAAAGTTGTCAGAGATTAATTATATTTATATCTTTGGAAAGTTGCGTGAACTGACAACGCAATTGCGTGAAGTTGTCATATTTACATTTTAATTACGCAATTATACTACAAGCATATTTCGTGGAAATTCTCCGTTCTAGTAACTAGCATAAACGTATTGACAAATTTTAACATAGGCTTCCACGGACGAATTTTATACAATGTTTGATGTACGGATTTTATGACTAATAGCTACTAACGCCATCTATCGATTTGCACTAGCAAACCTGTAAGCAAATCTTACTAATATTATAAAATAGCTGACGCCCGCGACTCCGTCCGCTTGGAATTAAAAAAAAACTTAATTGGTAGCTTATGTGTTCTTCCAGACTTCAGTTCGACGGTCAGCCGTTCCGGCGATACCTTCAAACAAACATCCATCCATCCAAACATTCGCATTAATTATTTAACTTAAGTTTGAATCGTTAATAAGCTGTAGATAAATAAAGTACAATGAAAGCCAAGCCTGCCTGAGGGCAAGCAGTCAACCAGTGTAAGTAAATGTTGTGGTAACTTTCAATTCCTCG